ATGCAAAGGCCTTTAGTGTCTCGCAGATGAGCACCCATGCAGGCCAGCTCCAGGCCCCTCACCTACTCACACCTGGCGTGCGGCATCCTGCTGGTAGGCTACAGAGATCCCAAGGTGGAACCTCCTCGCCAACAGCTCAGGCCTTGAGAAGTGGACCCACAGACACATTTACCCAAGACAGTGGCAAAACCAGTTCTACCACTACCGGGTGGGGGTGATGGTGCAGATGGGCTGCAGCCTGGGCTTGAGGAAGGAGCTGGACATGGCCAGGGTGTGGGCCCCTCTGCCCTTCCCTACAGTGGCCTGTGATGACACAATATCCCCTGACATGGTCACACAAGAAACCCCAGTGAGGAAGAAAAAGTTGCTCAAAGAAACATGAAGTAACGGGCCGGACCAAATATCCCTGCCCAGGAAAGCAGCACCGTCACCCAACTGGTGACTACCCAGCCACGGCGGTGCCACGGCACCCTGGGGCTGCTGGGCAGGGGCCACCTCTCAGGGCTGTTCAAGAAGAGCTCGCCTTGGCCTTGAATGAAGACGCAGCCCAGGCTGCAGCCAGGGCAAACATGCCCCAGGACCAGAGGACTTGGGCAAGGGTCCGGGCAGTGAGTCCCACAGGCCTTGTGCAATCCCTGGAGTGACCTTGTGCAAATCTGACGTGGTCACAAGCGAACTGAAGACAGAAGCAAGAAAACAGAAGCAAAAAAATACTAAAGAATATCAGCGCGCACGTTCCACTCCCTAAACACAATCGTGTAGTCAGCCCGGCCTGGGCTGGGCAGCCGTGAGGAAGCCTAACTGCCATTCGGGGCCTCAGTTTTCACTGCATAGAAACAGGGTAGAGAGCTGATGGCTGAGGTTCCTGTTACAGCAGGATTCTCAGAGCTGCCTGCTGGCCAGGCTCATGGAGCCACCCACTGAGCTACTCACGTTGCACTGGGCTGCTGTCTCTGCGTTCTGGCACCAGTAGCCTGGGCCCCAGACACACTTTTCAGTTCCCAAAAGGGGCTTACGGGCTGAGGGGCAGGCTCCAATTTTCTATATGGTGAGAAAAGGACAAAAGAAAGGGGAGAATTAGAGCTGCCCAACGGATCTCTTTCAACACTAAGACAACAGCTTCCAGAAGCAGCTAGACTCCGAGATCTTTCAGAAGAACACTGGGATTGCTGAGTACAGCAGTGGGGCTTCCAAGCCTGACTCCTGCCTCAGCCCTCCACTCTCCACCCCCAGAAACCCTGGCGGAGGCCGACAGTCTCAGAGGAAACCTTCCAGGTCTATGCAGCGCCTCCCAGGTTACAGCTGCCCGAGAGGACCCACGCGCCAGGCGACGCTTACCAAGCACACGAAGGAAGGCTCCATCACCTCCACCAGGACCTCTAGCAGCACAGGCTCATACTCAGTCACAAACTGATCACACTGCAAAGTAAAGCAGGGACAGGTCCAGGTCTGGGTACATCCAAGCAGGGTGGGAGCACAAAACGCTGGGACAGGCACAAGACACACTCTTCTCCCAGAGTCCCTGACATTCCCAGGCCACTGGGCCCTGGGCCCTCCCTTCCCAGACACCCACCCACACTTGGCCAGAGCTCAGGTTATTTCCCCCCAGTGGCTCCACCTGACCCAACAAATCATGTCTAACTAAAACGTCACTGGACTCCACGCTCGTGAGGCAAAAATAGCTAGTTTCCCTCCCTCAAAACTTTAATCAGAGGTACAACCAGTGAGCTACCCCAGCCTCTGCACACCCCCAGGAGGTTCTGACGCTCTGGCCTAAAGCAGCCCAGGATGTACCTGCTTCTCATAAGGGTCAGGCAGGAAGCTGCAGCCTTTCTCGAGAGCATCCAGGATCTCTTGCTTGGTGCTGTTTTTCTCCAGATTGTGATCCAAATAGCTAACCAGTTTCTTGCACACCTCACAGAAGCCACCGTCATTCACTGGAATCACTTGTACTACAAAGGAGGGCACAGGGCTCAACGCTGGCAGGACCCTCCCAAACCCAAGAGGGCCGCCGTCCTCCCCACCACCGCCGCGCCCTGGGCTCACCAGTCAGTGCGGGCCGCTCTGTGCGGGAGCAGAGGTGGAGCAAGCTGCACACCAGCTCAGGGCTGGCCTCATGCAAGATGTTCAGGATGGAGCTGCCGTATGAGTCCACCACCTCCTGGCACTCCTGCGACCAGGACCTGGGCAACTTCAAGCATACCTTATCCAAAGCTTCGAGTATTTCTTCCTGAAACACAAGGAGAGGACCATGTGAGAAGATGGGAGGCTGGGCAAGGGTGGGAGACATTCTGAAAATACTAACAAGACCAGGGAATGAGTCAACAGTGGGGTGCTGTTTCCTCCCTCAAAAGACAACCAAGCTACAAAGACCAGAGCCGCAAAGCAGGGCTATGGTGGACTCCCCACCCCCAGCCTGGAGGAACTGCCTTCTAAAGGACGGGGATGTGGCTGTACATGTTCCCAGGCTGGTGTAACACAATAGCAAGGGCCAAGTCCCCTCTTCCACTGGACTCTCCCAGTGGGACATTCTGGCTCAGTGGGCCAGGAGAGAGCCTCCCTCTACAAGGACAGCATACCTCAGTCTTGTTGTTGTCGATCAGCTTGACCACCTCCTTCACCACGAACTCACACACCTCACAGTATACGTCAGCCTTCATCTGGACCAGGTCTTTCTGTTGAAAGAGTAGAAGGGGCACTTTAATGCTGGGGCTTGCGCTCCTTGGTCTTGCTCCCCTAAAGGAGAGGGGACGCAGAGACCAGGGTGGGCTAGCATCACCCAAGGGGCCACTGCCTACTCAAAATGATGTGTGGCTTCCTCCCAATATCCAAGTTCAAGTCCTTGTTTTTTATACAACGGGGGCCCATCCGTTTCCCCAATCCTCCACCACCTTCCCCTAACTCATACTCAAAAAAAAAGAATAAAAAAAAAAAAACAATCACTCAGAGAAATATGGGACTATGTGAAATGAGCCAGTACATGAATTATAGGTATCCCTAAGGGAGTTGCTGTGAGCTAGGCTGACGCCACGGCACTCACTCTAGCCCGGGCAACAGAGTGAGAGTGTGAAAAAAAAGAATAAAAAAAAAAAAAAAACACCCAGGAATTCATACTTCAGGAGAGAGGTATCTATATAATGTTTCAGTTACAATCATTTCATCACTCTGTCACTCTGTGTTCAGAGTGGGGAGCAAGAACAGAGTGAGAGATTCACTGTATGTCCA